TTTTCAAGTTATGGTACAGTTCACAGTAAAACTTTTAAAAACCAAATGTAAAAAAAAATATGTGTGATATTTAGATTTCTGAACAGAAAAGGCTAGCTGCCCACTTAATTCTAGGTTTTGAGCGTTTTCCCAGGACGTGTCCTGCGCGTTGTGTCCTGCATGTAAATCTGCCCGCTCCTTGTCTGGCTCAGACGTGTTCTCTTCATTTGCTGTCCCAAAGCCCTGTGGCCTCATTTCTTCTCTGCAGAGTGTAGAGAAGGAAGTCATTCCACAATTCTGGACGCCTTTACAGGCGCCAGGGTGGCTGGTTTTTAAACACCGACACGCCTGTAACTCGTGGACTGCCTCGGGAAGAGCGAGGCAAGGAGGTGTTCTCTCAGTTACTCAATAGCACCCAGACCACACTGCCTGCCACGGGGTGGGGGCTGGGCGGGCAGTGGAGCAGCTGTGCTGGGGCTGAAGTGACGAGGGTGGGTGGGCTCTCTGGGCTTAGGGGCGTGCACCACCGGGGCAGAAGCAGGGGCAGCCTCTGCTGCCTCCCTCTGCCGTTCTCACACTCTCCAGTATGTGCACGGCCACGATACCTGCCCTAGGCTGCCCGTCCCGTCACTTGTGGGTCCTCTCCTGACTCCTCTTTGTAGCTCTCTCTGCCCGTGGCTCTGGTTCTCCAGCGCATTGCTTAGTTCTCCTTTTCCTCCGCCCCCTCAGCATCCCCGAGCTCACTGTGCTGTGACCCAGCTATCCACTGAGCTGTCCCCGTGCTGGTTTCCTGCGTTTCTCAACCTTGACCCACCCTGTTTCCAGCCAGCGTTTCCATTGCTTATGTCGAGCACAACTTTACCCACTACGGCGTTTCTGTAATAACAAAATATTGATAGCCGAGTGGAATATGCATAGGTGGCTGGTTAAAGAAAGGATGTTTTATCTGAACGATGGAATATTGTGTAGCTCTAAAAAGAATAAAGATGCTGTGTTTTCAATTATTAGAAATGAGCTCCAAGCTATATTGTGAAATGAGAAAAGCAAAGCACACTGAAGTTAGTTAGTATTCAGCCTTCTGTGTAAGGACAGAGTGGAAACGGATGTGCAGTGAGTCCTTACTTAACGTTGCTGATGGGCTCTTGAAACTGTGGCAAAATGATGTGTCATAGAACCAGTTTTACTGTACGTGTATTGATATACACGAGAATTAAACTCCTATGGCAACTTTATCACAACATGAGGAGGGCCTGCTGCACATTTATATTTGTGTTTGCTTATATTTGCTCGTGGACAGCGTGGCAAGAATCTAGTGGGGGAGTGGGCGCACGGCATGGGGAAGGGAGCCCGGCTGTTCCCGTGGTGTGGCCGTGTGTGTGTGTCGCCTGCACAAATAAAATAATTGCATTTCTTTTATGTCTTAGGGATGCAGTAGTTCAACCTCTCATCTTTTATTTATGAATTGATGTATTTATTCCTTCTGTTACACAGAAATACCTGCTTATTTATTGATACATATATTTCTCTGACAGGGAGATGTTTAGTAAGTAGAGCCTCCTCTTAAATCAAAACATTTTGGGAAATATTTTTAGAAGGTAGCGTAAAAGCTGGGAGCTGAAGGAGAACATCACTGTGGCACAAAGACAGGAAGGGACTTGCCCAAGGTCACACTGTCAGTATGCGGTACCCAAACCCACGCAGTCTGGCTTCAGAGCATCTTCCTAACCACTGTGCTGAACAGCCCACACTGCCGCATTGTGCAACGCTAGTTGTCTGTCTTCGTCTGAACTACTGTTACTCACTCTGTATCAGGCTGGTCTAGCTTATGTTATGATGACAAACAAACCTCAGAACTCTCCGTAGCTCACAATAGCCAACGCGTATTGTGTTCTCGGCGTTGGCCCACCACGGTCAGTGTCCCTCTGCCCCTGCGGGTCTTCAGTATAGTCCAGGCTAACAGGGGCAGCCTCTAATGGGATGGGGGGGACAGAGTGGGGTAAACTGTAGTCAGATTTCACTGGCCAAAGCAAGTGACGAGGCCAAGCCTGCTGTCAGCAGGGCAAGAAAGGATTCTCCTCCTGCTGGGAGGGACAGTGAGTTTGTGAACAATAATAATATCATCTACCACAACGTCTAACTTCAGTCCAGAAGCACAAGATCATCTATGTCTAAAAAAGGGTAAATTTATACATTGTACTTTTCTTTGATTGCTATAGTCTGTTGCTTCTATAATCTAGATACGCGCTTATAGTTAGATTCAAGAAGGAAAAACAATTGGATAGAACATTGTTTTCAATCCTAAGAGTTTAAAAAATCAGCACCTGGAGAAACTGGATATCCACAAGCAGAAGAATGGATTTGGATTCTTACCTTATACCATAAACAGAAATTAACTCAAAATAGATCAAAGATCGAGATACAAGAGCTAAAACTGTAACACTCTTAGAAGAGATCGTAGCGGAACAGCTTCAGGACACTGGAGTTGGCAGTGATTTAATGGATATGATGCCAAAAACGCAGGCAACAAAAGGAAAAATACATAAATTGGACTTTATCAAAAGTAAAACCTTTTGTGCATCAAAGGACACCATCAAGAGAGTGAAAAAGCAAGTCGAAGAGCCACTTCTAGGAGAAAGATCTCAACTGCAAATCTTCCACGAAGGGCTTCCCCTGTTGTTTAGTGCCACTGAGGTGCACGGTGGGGGTCATTTAATAGACCCAAGCGTTTTGTGAGAGGGGCATGACTCGTCTGTTTTACAGTAAGGAGATCAAGGCACAGAAAGCATAAGGAATTGCAGATTCACATAGCATATTGGATGCAAAGTCAGGAATCTAATCCAATGGTGTGTTAGATTTCCATTGCTTTTCAAAAAACCACCCCACTGCTACCCGATGAGGTGACATTGATCTATCCTTCTAAGGATCTGGCCACCCTGGTCCCTCGATAATAAACTTAAGAGTCCTCCTATGTCCTTTATACTCCCTACCCACACCCCAGCCCAGCCCATGGGGCCCCTTTTAGCCTGAGTAGAATAAGCCTTCATCTTGGGGAAAATTTGAGCTGCCTGTCTCCTGGGAAAATCACTAGGTGTCTACATTTCCGGGCTCTGAAAGTCTGCAGTTTATTCCGTCACGGAATAGGAAGTGTGGCAACCGCAGTTCTCCCTTTTCAAAGCAGAACGGTTGGTTCCTCTCTGTAGTCCGAATTCTGGGGCTTGCCTTTGGCTAGAATTCTGCTTGCTCTTTTTTTTTTTTTACCCAGAAACGCAGCTACTCTTCCCTTGCCTGGCTGTGATACTCTTGTTTGCTAACACCATCAGATTACTAATATAATGCCAACATCCACTCTACCCCGACTCAAATTATTCCATGCAATCTCCTTCAAGCAAATTCTAACACCTAATGCATTCTCTCATTTTTAAAAATTATGAATAAGTGGCATGCTAATTAATCAAAAATCATGAAGCCTAGAAATACAGGAAGAGAGCTTAGTGGTGTAATAAAAATAAAACAGACAATTTAATTTGACACCCATCTAATGACAGAATCATTGTGGCCCTTTGTCATTCGATGCAAATAAATGGTAAGCATTTTACTTAGGTGACTATAATCTCCATTAACATTGTAAGTCTCTCCTATGATTTAATTCTTGTCACTGAGAACCCACGGCATCTCTTTTCTCCGTGCCATGCACGGAGGAGGGTGTGTAGCCGGAGTCATCCTGTGAGTACGGAGAACAGAGAGGGTGCCCTGCGACTCTTCTGCCTCTTTCTTGCCTTCCTTCTGGTCTGGTCAAATGAACTCGTTGTTTCCTCCGCGTGATTTCCACTTGTCCCTGGTGTCCCCTTCCCCCAAATGCCCACTCCTTGCCTCCACCCAATGTTTCCTTGAGCATCCCTCCCCTTTTTCTTTAAAAAATTTTATTCATTTATTTTTAGAGAGAGGGGAAGGGAAGGAGAAAGAGAGGGAGAGAAACATCAATGTGTGGTTGCATCTTATGTGCCCCCTACCGGGGACCTGGCCTGGCCAGCAACCCAAGCACGTGCCCTGACTGGGAATTGAACCGGCAACCCTTTGGTTCACAGACCTGCACTCAATCCACTGAGCTACACCAGTCAGGGCCTATCCCTCCCCTTTTTCTACTTCTTGATCAGCGGGACCTGTCCGGGGTCAGTGTGATGCCAACCAGTGCAAGGCTGTGGTGTCTTTGGATCAGTAGGCTGTCCCTGGTAGCCAAGTCTCTCCAGAACTGCAAGGAGGAATATGTGGTCACTGGGGCCCAAGAGTCAATCCCAGTTTCTTAAAATGTACATAACAAATTGGATCAAACCATCAGAATCTGTTAAAATGGAAATTCAGGCCAAGACCAAGAAAATTTTTAGCTTGAATCTCTCTTAGGGCTTTGCTGGAGAACAGAGACTCAGTCACTTGGTTATCTTGGGTTGTCTTAAAAGGAGTTTCCTAGCAGATTCCTGCCTGCCTAGACCCCTTCTTCTCCCCTGGAACGGCGCTCTCTCTGCTCCAAGCCTGGGTCCAGGGGCCCTTCCCCAACCCTGGCCTCGATTCAGACCGAGGAGGGCCGGTGCTGCCTCACCTGGGGTGGGCTGGGGTCATGGGACTGGGGCCTCTTGGGAACAGAGATGAGGGCACAGAAGTAACAGACGAAACCCTGTTGACCAGTCAGAGATGCTCAGTTCTACAGAAACACACCCGACTTTATGCCACCTGAGGTGCCCCCACAAAACTGACCATCTCCCCTGGACAGGGCTGGTCTCCAGTCCCCCAAAATGGGATTCAGAAGCCCATCCCCCCTGCCCCCCCCAATAAGCCAGGACCTCTTCCAGTTTACAGATGGATGAAGGGGGCTTTGACTCGATCTGTTGAGATCCAAAAAGAATCACAGACGGGACTGTCCCAGGAAATGGGGTCTTGAGGAATTGCTGGGTCACAGTGAGGAGTGCGCCTCAGCTGTGTGCATGCAAGTTCGTTTGTGGAGGGGCCCGTGTGTCTGCTGCGGGGATTCATTAGGGAGCGCTGCCCGTAACCTGTGGGAGACAGCGCAGTAATTTGATGTTCGGTATTTTCTCCTGCTGTCTCCATAAGTCTATTTGTTGTTCTTGCCAGAGACCACAGAGAACACGGTCATTTGGTGGGCTTGTCACAGATCCAGCGGTGCGGGGTGTCACACAGTGCAGCATCGAATGTCTTCGTTAGGCCCATGGTCACACAGTTGAAACCCGGAAGCTGATTGGTGACACTAAAGGGGAAAAGATCGTGTGGTTACAACCCATCACATCAGCCCTGCTTTTTCCTGATTTTGACAGGGGATTCAAGACCTGGAAAATTTTAGCTTAAGGTAAAAAGTTATATGAGTCTAGCAAGTAATGTGTATGCTAAAGCTTTTGTTTCAGAAACTACAGGTAAGGCCCATCCTGGCTCCTGGGGGAAAACAGCCGACCTCCTGGGGCACTGATAGAGGATTACCGACTGGGGACATCTGAACCTTTGTTCCAGGGAGAGCAGCCGACCACCCCTCCCCCTTGGGAACAGCTAACTGCCCAGGACAGGAATGTTGCAGCTTCTGAATCTCAAAGCCCTCACCGCACCTTGTTTGTCCTCCCCCACCCTCTTATAAAAGATCTGGCCAGGAAAGAGAAGGGAAGGTGGTTTGTTAGGGTATGAACCCGCCGTCTTCTCAGATCACCAGCCATCTGAATAAAGCACCCATAAAAGATTCAATCACTGTCATTGCTTCTTGGATTTGGTAGTGACAGGCAGCCCCAATGCCAGTGTCATTTCCGGTTACAGTTTCAGTCCCCTTCCATCCCAAGTCCATCTCTAAACTGACCCTTTCACGTGAACTCTCCTGTGAGCCTTCCTGGACTCACAACCTTGGATTCGTTCGCTCTGTGTTTGGTCAGAAACATCTCCTGGGTCATCTGTCCCATTTCCTCTCAGAAATGATGTTTTCGTCCTGAAGGTACTATGAGCACAGCGGGAGGCCTGAGAGGAGGGGGAAGAGATTTCTCTTTCCTTTCTGGGCAGTAGGCACCTTTAGGGAACGCTTCCTTGGCCGTCTCCCACCCCTTTTTCTGCCATTCAGCCCCTTCCAGTCTGACTGGGAAGAGTCTGGTTTCATGCAAAGGTTAAGGGTTTTGGAATCAAGTGGATGTGGGATCATACTTTGGCTCCATCAACTCCCAGCTTGGTGACATTGGACACATTTCTAACTCTCTCATCCTTATTCAACTGTCTATTAAATGAGGATTAATAAAAGCTTTTTCTACGGCATCACTGTCAGTACTTCAGAAACAGCATGTGTAAAGGGCCTGGCTGTAGGAGACTGTTCAGCGTGGTGCGGGCCCAGCTCCCACTCAGAGATGCACAGGACCCACGCCCACAGATAGGTTCTTCCATGGGGAATCAGGCCTGTAATGTGCCTAGGCTGCTTTGAGTCTTGCTTTTGCTAAAAAACTCGCTCACCCCGAATTGAGGACATATACTGCAAAGCAACTTTTTAAAATCCATGCTAAACCTTCCAGGGATGAGTGTAACCAGTTCAACCACTTTTGCCTTTTCATTTGCAAATATCCCTCTTCTGTGCTGTAATCAGCAGCACTGGCTCCTTTGTTTTCTGTAAAAGGTAACCACCTAAAGTGAACCTGTGCATAGTACATGAGGACCATCATGTAATGTGCCCAGAGAGAGAAATGAAGGCCTGTCATGGTGGAGGCCACGGCTTTTTGCCCTCCAGAGAGCGAAGCTGCTCGCCCTTTTCCTCCACAGGACTCGGTGGTCCGTGTGAATGTCTCTCCCCATCCACAATGTTGAGGACCCCACCAGATGGGGTCCGCATCACCTGGCATGTAGTGGACAGTGAATGTGCACTTCCTCTCCTCTGTGGGACGCCCACTTACAGGCTGGAGGGCTGACTTGCTTTCTGTGTGACTCAACCTCTCCTGACATACACTGTGATGTCATGTTGTTCACCAGTGCTCTGTCCACGGCACGGCAGATGGGAGAAAGCTCTTAGGAGTTAACATTTGTAGATATAAGGCACAGACAAGTTGTTTATGATTTCCTTTCTTTAGAAAAAGAAGTCACATCTGTGTGTAGGAGGGTGCAGCCAGGGGGCCCCCAAAAGAAGGATTTGTAATGAGGTCCAGAACTCAAGGTGTCCAGGAAATATTAGAAAGATATATAGGATGTCCTCACCACCCCCCCAGGTGTGAATTGGGGGAAGGGACACACTGAGCAGGGCCATTGAGAGCTGTTTTGCATAGCAAAAGCTTTGCAGCTAACCTCTGGCACGGTCATTTAACATATCTATAACATTTAAGTGGTTTCATAGATACGTTAAATAGCTGTGGCCATGCTTTGAGCGAGGGGGATGGGAGTGACTTCCACCCAAGATGTAACAGGGAGGCAACTTCCCCTCATTACAGAGCCTACGTGAGAGCTTGGAGAAGATTGGCTCCATGACATGGGGCCATGTCTGCCCAGACTCACTATGGCAGCCCAGGAAAGCTGGAAAGATATGGGAGTGCTAGCAAGTATAGCTGATTGTGGGAGGAGTCGCAAATGGGGCTGCAGAAGAAGATTGGTGTGGAGATTTAAACCCAGATGCAGCAGCCATTGAAGAGAGGACCGGGCAGCTGTGGCAGTGAGGAGAACTACACGCTTCTGGCAGTGTGGGAACCCCCTGCAGCCATGAGAAGAATCACCATGTGGCTTTAGCATAGAACCACCAGGTGGCTTTAGCAAAGAATCACCACGCAGCTTTAGCTGGAGATCCTGGCGGCACAGCTGATGGTGCCGGGAACTGAGGGAGGCCTACCAGCTGAGCACGGATTACTGGGAAGAACCGGGGGGCTGCCTGAGCCATGGACTTCTATTTCTTTTCCTGAGATATGCTACCCCAGACTAGGCAAAGGGGGGGAACGAAGGACTGTGTATGTTTGTGGGTGTTTTAAGGGACTTTGGGATTTTGATGAAGACATTAAGTCATTACTTTTAAGGCTGTATAACTTGAATAAATAATTCCTTTCTTTTTCACCAATCTCTAACATCGAGAGCTATAATTCTCTGGTGATAGGAAAGGTGAACCTAGTACAGGGGGACCCCAGGAGAAGGGGGGATCAATTTGATAGCACTGTGGGACCCTCTTCCCTGGTGGCCAATCAGGGAAAATCATGGGAGACCGCATGCGCAGTAGCTTTAAAGTAAGACAACTACTTGTACATGCGCAGTAAAGGCCCGCCAAAACTAGCCAGGAAGGATCCGCCCTTTAACAATAGAGTCCCTCCAGCCCATGAGGTCCATCTCTGCTTGGAGATGGCCTGCTCCCATGTTCTCTGCTATAAACTCTGGGTGTTCGGTTCAATTCTTTGTCCTGATCACCGAGAACCTGGTTACCTGTGCTCACTTGTAACATGGGGAACTTGTAAGAACCTAGTAATAAAATGTGATCTGTGGGTTAAAAGAGACTTATGAGATATAGCTGGATCCTAATTTGAACAAAATAATTTGTTGTAGGAATACTCTTCTCTCTACTTAGACATGTTGGATATGTTCCATAATATTAAAACATTTACAGAAAAATGTGTCTCTGGGAGTAGATGGGTTGGAAGCAAGGAGAGGAAGAGAACAAAGACGTAGGTCTCAGCCTTTTTGCCATCCAGGACAAACCCACTGCATCTCAGGTCTAGGCTCTTGAGGCAAACAAGGATCCCCGGAAAAATGTGAAATGCTTACGTACTTGCCGTTGAAAACGGAGTTGTCGATCCAACGCCACCCTTTCTCTGCCGGCTGGTATCGTAAGCCAATAAAATACTTCTCCGCTCCAGTTATGTCCTGGAGAAACCTCTAGAAAACAGAACGATCTTTGCTGTTGTTTCCCTTGTGCCAGTGGCCCCATGATTCTGCCTGATTCTGGGATCGAGGAAGACTGGCAGGGGACTTGGGGACCGGCTACTGCTGACAGCCGACATAAACCCCAGAGAAGTAATCCCCAGTCTACCCAGGGCATCAGGATCGCTTGGAGACCTTGTTAAAACCGGCTGTGAAGTCTGCTGGACCAAGGATTTAGATTTCTAACATATTCCCAAGGGATGGGAAATGGCAGGGGAGGGTACTATGCCCTCTAAAAAAAGGCAATTTCAAATGCCTCCCCTTTCTTGGCACTCTCTGCATAGGGTTGTTTCACTGAATGCCAGACATCTGACGTTCCAAATGAGGTTTGGTCAAGTGAATTTGTCAAGTACTTGGCAAGAGAAAACAGATTTAAAGTGTATCGCTAAGGCAGATAATTCCACTGGAAATAATCAGTGTTTATTGAGTATTTGTTGACTTGACACTCATCCAAGATATCTTAGTTTCTGTATTACATTAAAGAATAACAAATACCCCAGCCGACAGGCTGGGAACTCCTGGCCTCTTCTGTACCCTTCCCGTACTCAGTGGACATCCGGGTCCATCGGGATGTTCTCTGCTTCCCCATGGCTGGTGCCTCGGTCCCTCCTTTCCCAGTGCTCTCCTTCCCAGAAATATACCATTGTATTACTTTTAAAAATCAGTGACCAAATGTACTCATTTAGCAAACATTTCAGTGTCTATTATGTGCCAAGCATTGTATGAGGCTGGGGATATGGAAACAAATTTGTTTCTCCTAAAGAAATTATTATCTAAAACAGCGGTTGGCAAGCTACGGCCAGCAGGCCAAACCCAGACTATAGCCCATTTGTGTAAATAAGGTTTTATTAGAACACAGCCAGGTCCACTTAAAAAATATTGTTTATGGCTGCTTTTGAGGTACAAGGGCAGCATTAAGTAGTCATGACAGAGACCTTATGACCTGAAAGGCATAAAATATATACTATTTGGCTCTTTAAGAAAAAATGTGCTGACCTATGGTCTAACACAAGGGCTTTTAACTCTTTTGCTGGACAAGATTCCTAGGGGATCTATGAAGCTGTTGGAGTTGTATTCAAAATATTGTGCCCATATAATGTTTCTGGGAAGAGGTGCATAGATTTCCCCTCTAGTTCTAAGACCCCAGTCATGCCTGCATGTAGAAGAGGCAGAGCTACGATCATAAAAGACAGATGCGTCAACCGGCACCGTGTGGTGCCCCGGGAAGCATGTGCTGGGTCTGGCACAGGCTGAAGGAGGGAGTGATCGACTCTGTGTGAATTTGGGGTTTTCCAGAAAGACACTGGAAGAGGTGCGCTTGAGATGAATTTTGGCAGACAGCTGTCTGTTGGGCAAATGGTGGGCAAGGGCATGGGTCAGGGTTGGACTCTCCGGAAGAGGGAGCATCAGACCCCAGGCAGACTGCAGAGCAGCCGGGAGTGTTTGAGGGACTGCAGGATGTCCAGCGTGGTTAGCGCAGAGGTCGGAGGGAGAGGGCTGGGGATGCAGACCTGGAGAGGCTGGATCGTGTGTCCTGCCAGGGAAGCCAGACTGGCAAATGGCCCAGCCAGTCTGGAGCCGCAGAGATTTTGTGAGATTGGTTCCGTGGAGGATAGGTAAGAAGGATCAAAACCAGGGGCAAAGTGAGGAGTGAGAAGAATTTGGAAGAAATCTAGATGAGAGGTGAATTATTTTCTACAGGGACAGATAGGGAAGGATTTGTTCAGCAACTGATTTAAGAGCAAAGAGAAAAGGTCAGGTCCCAGCAAACTGTCAGCATTTGATCTTGGGTGGCAGGGTTACTCGCCAGGATTTGGAATGGAGCAAGAGGGGAGGGTGGGTAGAGTTTAGTGGACTCAGTTGGAATATGGCGAATTTGTGGTGCTTTCGAAACATCAAAGGGGAATTCGATGTCCTGTCTGGTCTGGAGAGAGCTAGCCGGAAGAGGCTGAGCTGCAGACACAGACTAGAGAATCCTCAGCAAACCACTGGTGTGGAGCTTTTTCTGGGCTTAGCGTGGAGGATGAGTGGTAGAGGACACCAAGGGTGGCGCTTGACATGCACCAAGACTTAAGGGTTGAGTAGAAGAAAAGAGGCTGTCTACTTTCTTTCCCATGCCCCACTTCTCCTCTTCTTTTTTCTCCCCACTCTCCTGCTCCTGGTGTTCTACTGTAAAGTATTTTTTCTTCCCAGGGGGTCCTTAGCCCTAGAGGATCTGTCACTGTTTGTTGGACAGCTCCATCCAAGATTCACAGGAGATCCTCGTACAGATTCTAAGAAGGGGGAAGGGACGGAGGGGACAGAAGGAAGATTACTGTACGCAGCACAATGTCTAGCACTCCTCTGATGCCTAGGATTTGCAGGAGAGACAACTATAAACTAAACTGTATTACAGTCTAAAACTGAGTAGAGTGTAGGTTTTGGAGTTAGAGAGCTCTCAAGTCCATGTGCTGTCACTCGGCAGGTGTACGGCCTTGGTCAGATTACTCCTCGGTGCCCTGGTTTCCTCATACATAAATTGCGGATAATAACACCTCCCCGGAATTGTTCTGACGATAAAGGAGATAATAAAACAAAGCTTTCTGCATAGTGTTAGCTATTTTCATCATAACTGGATACCAGAATCCCGATTCTATGACCTAATTTCTTTGTGTTTCTTGTATCACTCATTTTGTTAATTTGCAACTTCCATATTTATGAGGCAAACTGTGATGATACATTAATTAACAGCTCATATCATTGCAGTCTTCCATAGTTCTTAAAGAACTTGCGTACACATCAGTCCATTTGGCCATTCCCTGCACTTCAGGTGTTCTGGCCCATTGCCAGGATGCCAGTCTGCTCCTGTCCCCCCCCCCCCCCCGGGAGAAACCACAGAGGGTGGGTTTTACGAGCTCAAGTGGACCTGAGGAGCACACCCCAGGGCTACTGAGAAGGGCGTCCCGTCTCCCTGTTGGGAACAAGGAGGTCCAGCTCCCAGCCAGCCACCTCTCCTCCCCTCGCCCCCAGCGTGCCCCTGCTCCGCCAGTCAGGTTGCCCACCACCTCCTCCCCCTGAGGCTGGCCACAGGTGGGCTGCTGTGTGTGCCCTTCCGACCCTCTCACCAGTTTCTCTGGTGTGTTGACAATGGCCAAAGTCGATCCTTGCGCTTCACAAATGGCCCTGCTTTCGTCCCAGGGCATTTCCGAGGTGAACAAGAAAAAACATCTTCCTTGAAGAAAATCCCACCTCCTGGGGCAGACTAAGGGGATTTGAGGGAAGAGAGTGTGAGATGAGCGGTCGAGGGTGTGAGCCCTGGAACTGACTCAGAAGACGGTGGCACGTGGGTTTGTTTATAACGACTGTGTTTATATAAATCAGCCTCGATCCAGGGAGACATGTTTCCAGTTGAGTCTCAGTTTCCCTGTCTATAACATGAAGGGGATGAATTAGAAGGTCTTTATCCATCCCTTTGGGCAAAAAAGTTTCATAAGAAAGGGGGCAGCGGAAAAAGTCTTTGAGAACTCTGTACATGAGCCGGGGCCAGGTGACTCGGTTCGTTGGAGGGTCGTCCCATACACCGAAAGGTTGTGAGTTCCATCCCCGGTCAGGGCACATATGGGGGGCAACTGATTGGTGTTTCTCTCTCTTTCCCCCCTCTCCCTACCTTTCCCCTTCTCCCTCCCCTCCTTCTCTCTCTCTAAAATCAGTAAGAACATATCCTTGGGAGAGGATTAAAAAGAGCCGGTACATGAGAACCCGGGGCTGGAGAGGAGGTAATAGCCCTGCCCTTTACCTGTTCCAGAGCTCTCTGTGGGACTGAAGCTGACGTCACCGTTCCTGAAAATCTGCGGGACTGAAATGAGAAGCAGACCTGAAGGTAGGCATGTGATGAATATGACACACAGACATCAGAGCAGCTGTTTGGTCCCTGTGACTATTTGCCTCTGGACAGCGGAGGTGACAGGGGCTCTCGGTCACTCAGTGCTAGAATTTTTCGGAGATTTTCTTTCTTGGAACCTTCCAGCTAACTACTACCATTATTCGTCATGCCCCTCACCCCGAGTTCTAGTTCATGTCTTTTTTTTCTTGGTGTGGCAGTAGGTGTGAAATGCTGGGAGAAAGAACAGGAGAAAGGAAGAGGAATGGATGAACTTAGTATCAGAAGGAAACCTCTCACCCCCTTCTCGCGGCCACCTCTGACAGCATTTTCCCCAAAGGCCTAATCGGGCCACCGCCCCTGCAGGCGCCACACAGCATCTTCGCTGCGCTCCCCGGCCTGGCGCCTCGAACCCTGCATGAAAACGCATCGTCCTGGCCGGTAACTTTCGGGCCCTTCCCTGAGCAGTGCTCAGCGATAAGGACGTGGCTACCTAGAACAAGTTTCAGGGTCAGGGGCTGGCTATTGGCAGACAAGAAGGCAGGTGAACATTTCTAGGGGCAGAAAAGAGTGAAATATTGCTTCGAATAGAAATAAGGAAGTCGATAGATCCCAGGAGGCCTCATTTGTCCCGGGACGCTGGCTGTCTGACCAGGCAGGCGCAGTGGCTCTGGGGGTGGCTGAACGCATCCTCACTGGCGTAATTATGGTGGAAGATGCGTTTAGTTCACCCAGATACCGCATTAGCTGCTTACAATTATATTAATAAAACATACAAGTTTGCACCCTCCTTTTATCTCAGTCTCCAGTTCAAAGGCTCTGTGTGATATGTGTGTAATAATCTGGTTTTCACCAGAAACCGACACCACTCCACAAATACTTCATGAGCATCTCCGCCACAGACCTCAGGCTACCGAGAGGCTCGGTTGGTACAAAGACAAACAAGAGATTATCCTCCTCCTAAAGATGTGCATAGTAGGAGGTGTCTTCAGAGGAAGTGAGAAAGAGATTCTCGGGAAAGTCTCGAGAGGAGGTGAGTTTAGTGGGGAGAACTGCGCCCCCTTCTCCTCACCCCCAAAGCTCTGCCAGCGCACCCTGTTCTTTATAGTCTACCAGCGTCCTCTGTTGCTGTTATCCTTCTATGGCTGGTCCGCTCTAGTGCTCGGCACACGCGGCGATGCTGAATATGTTTTTCCCCCGGTGGCGTGGGCTTCTTTGTAATAATTCCTTTAGGGGCACAACGTGCCAGCCTTTGCTAAGTGCTTTCCCATTACGTCACAGTGATTCCACACAAACCCTCCCCAGGCCCAGGAGGGACATGGAGGGTTAGGCATTGCACTCAGTCTAGTCTAGGGTTCCCAACTATAAAAGGAAGGGAAGACATTAGAAGCTAGTTTTTTGGATGTACTGCATGTATTTCATTTTATTTTCCAGTTTTATTGAGCTATAACTGACATACAATATTTTGTAAATTTCAGATGTACAGTGGGATGATTTGATGCACATGTCCACTGCAAAATTTATTACCACAATGAGATTAGTTAACACCTTCATCACTACAAATAGTTGCCCCCTTTGTTCGGTGGTAAGAACATTTAAGATCTACTCTTTCAGCAACTTCCAGGCATCGAATACAGTATTGTTAACTGCAGTCACCGGGGTTCTCAGGTTGCTGTCCATTAGATGTGCATCCCCAGGACTCATATATCTTATAAATTAGGAAATCTTTATGATCACTCCCTGCCAAATCAGTTCTTGGGAAAAGTCCCTGAGAGAGGTCTTTAGGAATCCAGCACCTAAGAACCTGGTGGAGAGGAGATTATTGGCATGCACGTTACCTGTTCCATAGCTCCTTGTGGGGCCGAAGCTGTCGTTACTTTCACCAAAAATCCGTGGGACTGCAAAGAAATCAGCTGTCGGCTCAGCCCCAGCTGCGGGGTGAGTGTAACGAACATCCCTGCAGGGGCTGCTAGGCACTGTGACTACTCATGGAAAATGTTGAACGCTCTGACTCTGAGGTGGGCAAAGGTATGTACGTGTGTTTGTGACTATGCTCATCCGTTCCTGTTCACATTTTCTTCCTGCTCTTGGATGGGATGGGAATGGCAGCTTCAGGCTGGGTCATCAGGAAGCCAGCTCTTACCCGCCTTGCTGTCTCCTAATCCCATTCCCTCCCTCATTTAGTTTCCCTCCTGGAGAAGATTCTACTTGCTGCAATTGCAGCAAATTCCCTTGGTATGAGGCTTTTCTTTCTAAGTTTGGACAAATAAGTTTCTATGCACGCAGAAGAAAACTTCCTGCCCCTGTGAAATCCTTTATCTTAGATTACCGCTCTTAGTGCAGCCTACCATTAGGATGAACTGCGGCTGAATGTTCACATTTTATCAACAGCAACAAGCACTGCTGAGTATTTCAGCTCAGATTACCCAACTTGTACCCTAGGGCAAAAGCTTTGTGTGGGGTTCTGCATCTCCAGGTGGACTGAGGAACCTGGCCCCTGGTGTGTTTGCGGAAGTGTCAGTTGCTCGCAGGTGGAAAGACTTGGGCACTTAACCTCACCTTCTGAGAAAGGAGCCAAAGGACAAGACAGTATGGAGCTGGGGTGAGAGGTTGCTCAAATACTCACAGTAAAGCAGGAAGAGGGTCGTTCCGATAATTTTAAGCGCCACCACGATAAGCACAGAGATGATCATGTGCCATTTCATGACGGAGGAGCTGAGGAGGCCTGTGGGGGTTAGAGCACATGCCACCATCAGTGTCTGGGGACCAGAGGTCTTTCCACCAGGATGCATGCCAGTGTCTTCCTCAGGCACCCTTGGGAAGGGGACTTGGGAGACAGGCGTGCCATTGACAGGTGCCAGGAGGAGATACAGCACAGGCCCCGAAGATGGGTGGGATTTGTTCCGGTTGGGAGCCTTGGAACTTGGCATGGCGTCTCTCCTTCACCCATCCTTTAGCTCTGGGCCTCAGCCCTGTCCCCGTCTGTGGCTACTAAATTCTGTCTAATGAAATAAATCCTTTCTTGGACTTTGAAAACACTTAGCCTTGAAATGATTCTTGTTCCCTAGCACCTTCCTTAGTCGTCTTGGCCATACTGACTTCAGCTGTCAGAAGCCTCAGTCTTAAGGACTGTGGCGGGAGCTGACAGATAGGATGGGTGTCCGTGCAGGGTTGGTGCTGGGGAAGAGCCAACCGTCTGTGCAGAGGACACGTAGACTTACCTGCTCCCTCCTGGGAGGCTGAGCTTGTTGTCCGGTGGGGATCTTCCCAGTGGTCTTACTCCTGGCGCAGTGCACAGAGGCCCCTTTTCCTGAGAGTATGTTCCTTCTGCTCAGGCAACGTCCTTCCTCCCTCACGGTCTCTCTGACTTGGCAGCATCCCCAGGCAAACCCTTCTTCCTGTTCAGCGTTCTTGGCAAAGAGAGAGGGTGGGGCAAGGAGGGGAAGGGAATCGACAGCTTTTGCGGGGAGAGGAAGGTTCCTGCCGGGGCAGTTCCAATACAGAGGACCATTTTTAGGAGAATTTGGAAGACAAAATACCTCAATGCAGATGAATCCTTTCTCTGTATCTGAATGTCATTGAAATGCAGTGGGAAGGAAATGGAGTAAACACTTAACAAATAGGGAACCTGCATGAAGGGTATCTGGAAATTATTTGTACTTGCCTTGCCATCTTTTTGCAAATCTGAAGTCACGGATATTGGTGAGCAGGTCCTTACGTGCCCCATTCTGTCCACTCACGGCCTGTCATATGGCTTTGCTCAGTCCCCTCTGGCCCCAGCCTCTCACCTCCCAGACCGTGTGTCCTGTGACGATGGTGACTCCTCAGTAATTTTGGAGCGTGGCGCTCTGCTGGGTACAGGAGACGAAGTGAGGGCGAACAATGCTCAAGTCTTCTTTTCAAGGAGTGTTTACTGCATGTTAAGCTTGAGGTTTTCCTTTACATAAAAAAGCTACATGGATTCATTAGAATATATTGGTAAGGAAACATGAGAAAATGAGAGACATCCATATAAGTTCACACATTTAACCATAGTCATTGTTAACACCTCTGGGTGAGTATCTTCCTAGACGAGTAGGTAGGTAGAACAAATAGATATTGATTCGTTTAGAAGTGGAATCATTTTGAATATAGGGGTGAGGAGAAAGTATGTTTGTGGAGCATATAATAGGTGCAAAGCACCAAGAGAACCCTCTCCCATCTCCCGGGCACACCCACATACATGCCTCTGTACTTGCTTAACTAGATAATTCTGATTCCCCTTTTGGATCTTACTTAGGTTAAATGTCACTTCTTTCAGGAGAGTTTGCCTGCTGATTCTCCTTCCCTGCTCCAGCTGGGTTAAGGTGCCCTTTATTTATGGTCTCATTATATCGTGTCCTTTTTCCTTGAGTGCTTATTGAACTATGATGCGTTCCTGCGCTTTCCCTGCTGGACGCTAGGAAGCCGTGGAGGCGGGGCTTCCTGTCTCTCTGCCGCTGCGACTCCAGTCTCCAGCACATCCGCGAGGCTCAGACACTGCAGCTCAGCCACGGGCTTCTAGGCTTGCTGGGTTTCGTGATTTATTTGAGAGAGGGTAGCAGGGCCTGCAAAATATTTCTAATCAATGAACATTTTTTTTGCAATATTCTTTATACCAATTAATACATTTGCTGCTGTAGTTTTCAATAAGGATAACTTAAGTGCTAAACCATCTCCGAAGGGGTCGATTTCTGATGAGAAAACTTCACATCTTAAATAACCAGCCTGGAGAAAGGAATGTGACTATATTATTTCGAGGACAACTCACCATCCCCTAGTTAATAGAGTTAATTTTTATTCATTTATATGCTACCAGTACTGTGTTATTGTTAAGTAGATCACCACTCAGACCATATGACAAGCCAGACTTCATAGAATGGACAGAGTAAGGAGTCACTAACGGGACCCCCTCGTAGAACTCGGTGACACATACAGTCACCTGAAGAGTCAGGGCCTGGCGGTGAGGGGTGGCGGTGGGAAGCGGAGATTGCAGAGCAGCTGTCGCACTTGCACTTGGAGCAGTGGCTTACTGAGTCAACCGCAAGCCGTGCTGCAGAGGGATAATGAGGACACGACTCCCTTTCTGTCCAGCGCCCAGCGCTAGGCAGAGGAAACGCTGGCGTAGCAGCCAGACTCCTGCTCAGGTTGCCTCCAGCCGGCAAAACAGAATGAGACGGGGAAACCCTGTCCCCTCCCCTGCCCGGCTCGCCTTACCAAGTCCTCTAGGGTTGACTCTTTGGATATCTATCAGGTCCCACCTCAACTTTGAATGATTCAAATGGTACCTGTGACACAACATCAAGAAATGACCTGGACCCGTGTGCTAAGAAAAGCTCGGGCATTTTCCTATAGAAAAGTCAAATTCATAAGCGTGTCCAGCAAGAACGTCTGTGATGGGACTTGTTAAAGTTAGACTTATCCGTGAGCTGAAAACCACAGGGACGGCATTTCGCAATGGCGAGGCACTGAGGTCTGCTCGTTGCATCGTTCAGCAGGAAGCTCTCTGTGCTGGGAGACTCATGGATGTGGCAACGCAAGCTGTGTGCCAGCCACGCCTGAAAGTCCAGAAACGCAGAAAAGCCAGGCTTGGTGGGGTGAACTGGGGAGTCTGCTGTACTCCACTCGCACGCTAAGCAACACTGAGATGAACAAAAGAAACACAGTCACAGTGTCGGTCCCAAGAGTCCCTACTTGCTTGGTTATTGAAATGATTAGTGGGCTCCCCGGGGGAGGCGATGTTTGAGTGCCTATAAGGCTGTCCACAGCTGAGTGAAATGGTTCTGCCATCTTTGTGTCTGCTCCTGGGCTTACTGGTTCCATTTATGGATTTTGTCCCACCCATTCTATTATAGATCTTCTGGTTGCTGGTGTAAGAACTTCCCTGCAGCCAAACATAGGCAAGAGTGGTATGTGTTGACTCATGAAATACGATCAAGTGTTTTACAGTGACACCAAAGCAGGACAAGGACGTAGCTGACCTCTGGAACATCAGCAGCCAAATGAGACTCAGTTTTGCAATATCTACCTCTATGCTATGCTCATTTCTATTTGTGAGAGGAACTAGGATGAGAAACATAGCCATGATGAGCTTTTGGATTTTATGTCTTACACATTTTTTTCTTGGATTAAGAAAAAATCCTGGAATTGACCCATCAAATATGGTAAGGGCAGGATCACGGTAAACATTTTAGATGGAGCCAAGGAGGAGCAGTTACCTGCAGAAGTAGGCGGTGGTTGTCAGAAGAAAGAAGGTTCTAGGAAGGAAAACCATCTGGTCTGCTCCATCCATCCTTGCTACCTCTTACCTGCTCGCTCCTCCCAGAGCCATGGCCTCCAGCCTTGCCTTTCTCTCTGCCTTTGAACCCAATTCCAAACTGACCTTTCCCAGATGAGCTTCTCTTTGGATGACCACACATTTATTTCTACTTCTATTCTCTAACCTGAATTTTCATTCTCTATTTTCACAACTTGGCTGCTGTTTTCCAACTAGGTGACATGATGTCAATCCAGTTGCATTAAGCTTCAAACCACATTTACTTACCATTTTCCTCAAACTCAATCCAATTTCCTTTCTCCACTTCTTTATTTTTGTTAATGATTGTGTCATATTATAACACACTTACACACTGAAAACATCCTTGATTCTTCGTTTTCTCTCAACCACATATTAAAATACTAGTTGATGTTTTTCAAAAGCTCTTTTATACCTTTGCCATTCCCACTACTCCATCCAAGTCCAAATCTTTAATCACAGTTGGGGTGCAAATGGCTCAAACCCTTTGCCTCCTGTGTTTCCAATCAGTATTAGGCAACACCATCAGTCATATCATTATAAAATCACTGTTAAGGTCATGTCACTTCCCTATTTAAGATTCTGTTATAGCCATTAGCATTAACAAGCCTCTTGAGTTTGGGAGAAAATATTTGTAAACTATATAGCTGATAAGGGGTTGATATCCAAAATAGGTATGCAACTCATACAACTCCATAGCAAAACAAAAGAGAACAAAAGCCAAACCTTATTAAAAATTGGCAGAGGATGTGAACTGATATTTTCCCAGAAAAGACATACACATGGCCAACAAGTATTACAGGAAAAGGTTCTCAGCATCACTAATTATTAGAGAAATGCAAATCTAAACCATAATGAGATATCATCTCACACCTGTTAAATGGGTATTATCAGAAAGACAGCAGATAACATGCCGGTGAAGATGTGGACCTTCGTGCCCTGTTGGTGAGGATGGAAGCTGGTACAGGTGCCGTGAAAAACTGTGTGGAGGAGCTTGAAAGAACTGAAGTAGAACTATCATATGATCCAGCAATCTCACTTCTCTCTAGGTATACATCTGAAGAAAATGAAATCACTATTTTGAAGCACTACCTGTACTTCCTTGCAGCACTATTCACAATAACCAAGAACTGGGAGCAACCTAAGGTCCATCCACAGATAAATGGATACAGAAAATGTGATATATATTATCCAGCCACAAAAAGGAAGGAAACCCTGACATTGGAGACAACATGGATGGACCCTGAGGGCATCGTGCTAAGTGAAATAAGTCAGAGAGAAAGACAGATACTGTGTGATCTCACATACATTTGAAATCTAAAATCATTGGACTCAGAAATGGTGGTTGCCAGGAGCTGGTGGTGGGGACAGGGAGATGTTGATCAAAGGGTATAAACTCTCAGTTATAATGTGAATACATTATAATGTGAATACATTTTGGGGACCTCATGTACATTATGGTGACTATAGTTCATAATACTGAATTGTATGTATATTTGAAAGTTGCCACGAAGGTAGAGATTTAATAATTGCACCATAACCACCACCACCAACAAAATGGCAGTTATACAAGGCAAAGGATGTGTTAACTAACCTGATTTGGTAAACATTTCACAATATATATGTGAAATTAAGGTATCAAATCACTACATTGATTCATTAATCTTACAAATATTACATGTCAGTGATATTCTTTCTCAATAATGGGGGGATGCAGTATATTAAAATTTGTGGGATATGGCAAAAATGGTTAGGAAACTTAAAGTTTAAAGTGTTTATATTAAAACTCAAAAAATTAACGATGTAATTTTATGCCTTAAGAAGCTAAATGAGAGAGAAATTAAACCTAAGAAAGTAGAAGAAATGAAATAATAAGCAATAGAAACTAAGTAGAAGAAAATAAAAGAAGTTTGGAAATATCAATAAATCAATAAATCTCTAGGTAGAGTGATGAATTAAAAAGAGAACAAAAGTGATTAAAATTGGGAATGAAAGGGGTTAGCAAAACAAATATTACAAATGTTAAAATGACAATAAAGGGACATTATAATTAAATTTATGCCAATAAATTAGAAAATAGACAAAGTCCTTGAAAAATACAACTTACCAAAATAGACACAATGACAAATAGAAAATATTAATAATACTCTAGTTATTAAAATAGAGACAGACTCATAGAGAGCAGGATGACAGCTAAGGGGGACGGAGGAAGTTAGGGGAGAGACTGAGCAAAGAGGAAAAATGACTCATGGGCATGGACAGCAGTGGGGTGACTGGTGGGGGCATTTGAGGGGACTAAATGGTAATGGGAAAAATAAAATAAAAATAATCTAAAAAATAAAATGAAATTGTAATTATTATAATTTTAAAAACTTTTCTAAATAGAAATTTCAGGCCCTAATGATTTATTTCTCTGATTAATGCTATCAAATATTTAGAGAAGGAATAATACCAATTTTATATAAAGTCTTAAAGAAAATTAAGAAGCTGAAATCGCTTTGCATTTGTGTTATGAACCCAGGATAATTCTGATGCCAAACTTGACAAAGATTTAAAAAAAAATAGAAGTTAATAGTCCTTCTGAACATACATGCAAAAATTCTTTATATTAGCAAGTAAAATAGACCAACATATAAAAGTAATAATACATTATGACTAAGTAGAGATTGATCCCAGGAACGCAAGATTTATTTAGCACTCAAGAATCATTCAGTGTAAATCACTATGTTAACAAAATACAGAGGAGATATACAATCATCTCAATAAATACAGAAAAAAGGTTTTAATAAAACTAACCCCCATTAAATGATAAAAAGTTTTACATATTAGGAGTAAGAATAGTCTTTCTTAATCTGACCGTGGAGCTCTAACAGATGTAACTTACATTCGGTATGTAAGTATAATATATAGTCATAGCTAACATTGCATTTAATGAATAAATAGTGGATGTTTCCCCCCTAAAATCAGGACTGAGGCAAGGATGGATATTCATATTCTTCTAATCAGTATTGTGCTGAATATTCCAGCCAATGAAATAAGTTACATAAAGTGAATGAAGGGCCTACAGATTGGGTAGGAAGAAGTACAATTATCTTTATTTGTCGATGACATAAGAGTTTAAGTATCAAATTTTGAAGAACCCACAAACAAATATTAGAACTAACAAGCCAATTTAGAAAAGTAACAAGGCACATGGGTAATATACAAAAATCAATTACATTTTTATATACTAGCAGCAAGTAATTGAAAAATAAAATTAAAAATGTACATTGATAACATTATAAAGTATTACTTAGGATAATTTTATCAAAAGACATGTAAGACCTCTATACTCAAAGGTATAATGCATGGCTGAGATAAATTAAAGATGTAAATAAATGCAGAGATATATCATATTCATAGATTGTCAGACTGAATGGTTTTAAAAAGTCAGTTCTCCTCAAGTTGACCTTTGGATTCAGCATGATAAGAATTTTAACAGGATATTAAAGTAGACAAATTAATCCCAAATTTGTAAATTTGGATGAGGTAAAACAATTTTGGGGAAAAAAGTAAGTTTGGAAGACTCACAATACCTGGTTTCAATATTTACCATTAACCTACAGTAATCAAGAAGGTGAATTTTGCTGACAGACAAATATAGTATGTTAATGGAATACAACATAGAGATCCATAATATGTATATAGCATATATATAGTATATATAAAAAGAGATCCATTAACATATAGTCACATGATTTTTGACAAAGGCTTTTAAGGGAAACAGGACAACTTTGGTGCCCATCAAGGAAAGATGAAGTTGCAATCCACAGCCATTGGAGGTGATGAAAAGGGAAATCTGGGAAAACCAGAAAGAAGAATTGGATTTATCAAGGCCAGGCACCTGAGAGAAGGAAGCAGTTCTGTAGCAGCACCCACAGCTGGCAGAGGGAGGCAACACTGTGGATGTCCTTGCTCTGAAGTTCGTCAAGATCTACAAGGTCTGTCTGGAAAAAGTCCAGCCACTGTTAATATCATGAGAACAGTTTGCATGACTTTGATGTAACCTGGCAGCAAAGAGAGTGGACTGGAATGCACATGCGTGAGCAATGATGACTTCACTGTACTGGTCAGTGGGGGCAGTAGATGCTGTTGAGTGAGCATGTGCACTGTGTGGCCATGACATTCAAAATGAGTAGGTAGAGCAATGATTCTGCATCAAATTTGGTATTAAGGTTGAACATTCCTCTGCAGAAACTATTTAGATGATTCAGAAGTCCACAGCTGTGGACAGCTGGTGATTGGCAGCTTCGTCATGACAATGTACCTGCTCACGCATCATGTCTTACGCGCACAGTGTTTTTGCAAAACATCAAATCACCCAAGACACTGAGTCCCACTGCAGCCCAGATTTGACACCCTGTGAGTTCTGGCTTTTCCCAAAACTAAAATCATCTTTGAAAGGGAAGAGATTTCAGATCGTCAATGAGATTCAGAAAAATACAATGGGGCAGCTGATGGCGATTGGGAGAACTGTGTGAGGTCCCAAGGTGCCTACTTTGAAGGGGACTGAGGCATCATTGTCCTGTGTGCAATGCTTCTTGTATCTTCTTCAATCAATGCCTCTATTTTTCATAGTACATAGCTGGATACTTTCTGGACAGACCTTGTATGTCTGCTACACCTTTTCCCTTACTGAGCTTTTTAGGATAGCTGTTCTGGCTAGGTGTCTGTGCAGGCAGAAAGAGAAGCTGAATTGCCACACACATACCTTTTGGCTAGGCTCTTCCGGCAGGTTCCGCAGCTGTGTTTGTGGATCAGTGTTTGGTACCAGGCAAAGTACCGTCTTCAAGGGCCAGTCAAGCGGAGCCGGAAGGCACCCACTAGGCGCTGGTGTCCAGGGTGCCTACCGAGGAAAGGGCTGCCTGCCTTGCCCCCTTGCCCACCACCGTACAGCAGGTTGAGTGTGCATTTCCGAGTCAGTGTGTTTTCAGACAAAATGCCCCCTGTCCTCTGCTTCCTGCAGAAGTTCTAATGAGAGTACCTCTCAATGCTGACATCGTTGTTCTTCCAAGTTTGTTTTTTTATATCTCATAAAGCTGTGGAGCTTGAGGAGGATTATCTAATTGCTGTGGTGGTGCACATGATCAAACATCGTGCTAGCACCTGTTTGAAGAAATAGGTTCAGCAGTCACTGGAAAAGCCAGCCGTGTTACCTTGGGAACTAGATATTATTTCAGAAGACCTGATTTCTCATGGTTTGGCTCATACCAAACGCTGATAAGCTATAGCACACAAAGCATTTATACTGAGTACCTCGCCTTTCTATTTTGTTCCTTTTATCAAAAGAAACCTAGGGAACTACTATCATTCTACTTGTCTAGGCCATATACAGGGCTTTATTATTTTATTCTTCTATGGGTGAGTCCCTTGACGTAGAACGAAGAGACTGCTGAGTTATCGTTTGCAGAAGGAATTGGAATAGGCTTCTGAACGATCAGAGATGTATTTGTGAAGACCCCACTTCGTGTCCCCTCTCAGCAGAGGCCTGGTGTCCTGGGGTCTGCCTTGTGGTCTGCCCTTACCTTGAGGCCACTCTGCACGCAGAGTAAGACGCCGTCCACAGCTCTCCTCAGCTTGGCATTGCCTGAGATCAGGATGGCCGCGTGTCCCGAGGGGCAGGCCGCCATCAACCCCACACACACCATGACCCCGAGCTTGTTGTGCCACAGCACCAGGAGCGGCACAGAGAGGAGGGCGGCGCAATAGGACACCACATAGACACAGAGAAAGGAGATGAGGGATTTGAGCGCTTTGATGTGGGCCTCCAGGCTGGGGTCGCTATAGTCGCTGGTCTTGGCCCTCATGGTCCGCGTGTGGCGCCACAGGGACACAATCAGCACCCCAGAAGAAACCAGAAAACACAAGAAAGGCGGGATGGAGCCCAGGCTGCAGAAGAGGAAGGACCGAACGAAATTGAAGTTTTCAGTTTGCAAATTGTGTTCTGTGTCATTCCTCGTGGATAGCGTATATGTGGCTGCGATGTGAAATCTACTAAAAAAGTCCCAAGAACATAAGACAGCGCAGGCACAGGTGAGAAGGACAGTACCCAGGAGCATCCGGGTGGCCCCTCTGGAGATCCAGCTTGCCAGGCAGAGCAGGAGGCCGTGAGAGAAACGGACGATCTTAGAGCAGTAGAGGAGACTGAGGCAGGTGGCGAGCCAGAGGCCTGCTTGGTTTGCGATCATCCAGAGCATGATGATGGTTTGGTAGCTGCTGCTCAGCGGGTCCTTCATCTGCTGGAACAGGGTGAGCTGGAGGGCGTTCAGAAACAGCAGCCCGTGCAGAAACAGCCGGGTGAGGCTGAGAATCAGCAGGATAAGGTCACAGTCACTCAGGGGCTGCCTCCTCACCACATCCCGAAAATTCACCAGGAAAATGAAGGTGTTGATCAGAATCCCCACTGCAAACTCCAGGACCGAAAGGACGAGAAATACACCCTTGACTTCATAGGGCACAGTTATGACGGGAACCAGAGTCCACATGATGTCGCTTCTTCCTTGGCTACCCTAAGACTCACACAATCTGCACAGGAGAGAGGATTAAGCGTCTATTCTCAGCTAGGACCTTTCCTTCACCAGGCATTTGCTCTTGCCCAGGATCTACGCCAAAGCGAATTCATAGAAAGTTCTGACTGTAACTTAGAGGGATATTGTTGCTTTAGAATACTTCTCGGATACACACGAAGGCTCACCGTAAGAGTACAGGAGTGACGGTTGTATTCCTTGGGTGATGCAGAAGCTTTTAAAAAACCCTAGGTGCTCCTGTGCAGCGGCCTGCCCGGGGGGCCACGGCACAGCATCGCACATGCAAACCAGGCAGTCTTCATTACCCAGACCCGGTTTTGCATGCCTGTCGGCACCTGCAGAGGTGAGGAAGGGAGTAGGATTTGCTTACGAGTTTCAAGGGAACGGGCAGCACGCAAAGCATACGTCTCGATGAACTATGGCTTGAAATTGTATCTCTTTCTATTTGCATGCCTTCCATAATGGGACAAGTGCATGGCTCCTGCCCAGGCACCAGTGTATGACTGGTGTGGCTGCCATTGTCGGAGATGTCACGTAGACGTCGTCATTATGCCAGGCACATTATTCTGAGTGGATGAGGGAACCGTGGTATATGTTAGGTTGGCCAAGAAGTCCGCTCAGTTTTTTCCATAAAATGAAAGACACATTTTTCAATTGCACCAATAACTTTATTGGTTCAGATATTTTGAGTATGTTGGCTGTCTCCCGCTATTGGCTTCTAGTGGGGAGAGGCCAGGAGTGCTGCTAAACACCTTCCAGTGCATAAAACAGCCCCACTGCAAAGGGTTATTTGGTCAGAATGTCAACAGTACCACGGAACTTCGCAAACCACTTTTGACACGTTCAATCAGTTACACCACCTTCTCCATACATGGTGCAGATCTTTTTGTGTGTGTTTCCATTGTGTTTTTGCCTTTCTTGAAGTAATAAAGCAAAATACACTGAAAATGTTGCTTATTTTCTTCCATCTTCGATATTAAACTGGCTACCCCCAAATTCACCAATTTTGATGTTTTTTAAATGAACGCTGATGTGACAGCTGTCATAATACATTTGAACAAAGTTGTTTCTAATGAAGTTAAAGATGACTAAGCACTACTAGAGCCATCATACAGAAAAAAACTAAGTGAACTTTTTGGCTAACCCAATACAGACAGTGGCCCCAGGACACCAGCCTCGAAAGAGGACATCCTGCCGTTTACAATAACGTGGGGGAAACTGGAGGACATTATGTAAGTGCAATAAGCCAGACACAGCAAGAAAAAATACCGCATCATCTCACTTATGTGTGGAATCTAAAAAAGCTGAACTTGTAGACGCAGAGAATGAACCAGTGGTCACCAGGGATGGAGGGGGGTGGGGAGGTGGGGAAAATAGGGAGATGTTGTTCAAGGAGTAGAAGGTTGTAGTTATGTGGTGCAAGTAAGTCCCAAGGATCTAACACACAACAGGGTGACTGTAGTTCACACCGCACCAGGTATCAGAAGTTTGCTAAGGGAACAGATCTCAGGGGCTCTTGCCACACACTTGCACACACACACACGACTGAGGAAATGGACATGTTAATTAGCTTGACTGCAGGAATCACTTCACTGTGTGTATCAAAGCATCAAGTTGTACATGCTAAATATATACAGTCCTCATTAAGAAGAACTCAAAAGGTTATAATCTATAATAAAACAAAAACTATATAACATTGAGGAATAAATCTAACATAAAATATACAAGAAATTATTAAGAAAGTGATAAAAGTTATTAATACATGTATTGAAGAAGCCCAAATAAATATAATGTTCCTGGATGAAAAAATAATAAACGTTAGTTATTAACATTGTGATAATGTGTTGTTAATCCTTGATGTTCCACACGCTGCCCTTTTTCCTGTATGTCCCTTTAAGGTGTTCCTAAAGCTGAGAGTTACCTGGGCAGCCCCCTTTGTTTCTGTAGACTCTTTGTCTTTGTTATGTTTTCTGCTAACTAAAGCTCCTCGCTTTTACTTGTAAGTAATGTGACATAAATCAATGCTTATTAAAAATACTCCTGTCTTATTCTGAAATGTTTATACAGATATTCAGACAGTCTTTCATTGTACAAAGTCACACAGCATTGACGTTATATTTAATTCATCCTATTCTGACCATCTCATTCTGGTCATTTTTTCTTTTCGAATGCCAGGTACTGAGCCCGAGTTCTCTGCTTCCAAAGGACGCTTGTTCCCGCCCACCCCTCTCCTCCACGCCAGGGGGCAGTATTGTACCAAACGTGTGCAGGAGGGGCGTTTGCTTTCCGAGAGAGTCCAGATGGAAGACACTTGCTCCATGGCACAAGCAGAGATGCAGAGACATATAAACACAGAGTTACAGCCTCTCCTTCCACTAGTACACCCCTTTGTCTCCAATCAATAACATCATCGTGAGCACCAAATTCCGCCACAGTCTTTCGATGATCAATAGAGACAAGTAGCAAAACCCTCATAGGTATCTGTCCTCCATTTAATTTATGTGCACACGGTGTTTGGGATTAATCTGTGTGGATGGTATTTACCATCTGGCCGTTTTCAGAAAACTGGTCCACTCAGGAAGCGAAGAACGGCTAAATTAATCGCAGTGCTAAGGGCAGTGGCCGGAACAAAATCCTCACCAGCTGTGATAAAACGTTATAGTCCCTTGAATTTTGCAAATAAATGAGTGTTACAAATTGCATAAAATACACGTGTTTGAACATTTGCTGCCATTTCTTTTTTTGGATATTGGGATTGCATTCTCTGAAATGATCTTTAAAAATTGCTATGGGTTGGCTTGACACAAAAATGCTGTTACTGGTCATAGCAAACCTTGTTCCTTCAGGATGCCTTACTTAGGGGTTTCCCATGACTCGCTTAAATATAGCCAATGGCTATACTGAATTACATTTATTAAGAGCAAAAATATATTTGAGAGGTTGTGATGGGTGCTGAAGACGCCCTGGAGAACGAACGGTTATCAGAGGGACTGAGAGACCACAGAGACGGGGTGCCGGCCTCAGGGCGGGAGGCAGAGGGGAGCTGCCCAGAGCTGCCACCTCACACCCCACAGAATGGCCGCCACCAAAGAGACAAAAGAAAACAAGCACTGGTGAGGGTGTGGAGAAAAGAGTCCCAGGAACCCCCCAATCCTGCTCTGCCAATGACTCCTGTCGCCTGAGAAGAACAGGGGTGAAATGGACTGTAGGGTATGACCTTGCTAAAAGCTACACCGGCCCCCGAACAAGCTGGGTTGGAGCACGCAGTGGCCCTAGGCGGAGTCCACACATCCCTCTTGCCGTTCTGGTTTGTGGCAGGGGCTGTTAATTGCGCATCCGGTATCCTCTCTCCCCTTCCTTACCGAGAGAACTCCGGTGCTGTTCAGCACACCAGTATTCCCAGATGCATTTCTTCTCTTTCTGTCAGGTCAGAGTGGCCAACGAGATGCAAGAAGTCATTGAGCAGGATTCCTTAGAAAGCCCTGGTTGCCTTTTCTTCTTTCTGTGCCCGAACTCAAGTGTTCTGTTGCTGCTTCACCCGGAGGGAAAACGGAGAGGGTCTCAAAGCCCCTGCCCTCCCTGCCTTTTTGGAATGCTTGCAACCGCACCAGCAGTTCTGCGTTCCAGGCGCCTCCCTATGTGGGAAAGGTAATCTCTGTGTGTCTTTAAGTCGCAGTACTCGGGCCACTATTCCTGGAAGCTGAGTGCAGTTGCTAACTGCTAACTGCCAGGAAGAAGGGCCTGAGTCTATTTGCCCGTCTGAGCATGGGACGCCAGGCAGGGGCAAGGAGAGGAGGTCGGCCCGCTTGCTGTCTAGGTTGCTTGTCATGAAGAGGCACGCGACAGAAAGTGCCAGGAAGGAAATGAAAGGAACGTTGTCTCTGCTTCCTGTGTTTTAAGTCCTATTTTGTCCATCATAACAGTCACAAGGAGGTAGGGTGAGTGGTACTCATATGGGGTGATGAGGTTCAAGATTATTTCATGCAGCTCGTCTTTCTGCATTTCTCCCTTTCATTGTTGCCTTTGCTGCTCACTGGTCCTGCTGGTTCATCACTTACTGATAGATCCCCATGGGTCTTACATTCAGAAAGAGAATCTGAGTCATCAGTGGCCATGCAGCAAGCTGTGTCATGAGATGATGCAGGCCAGTTGACAGATGGGCTGTCTGTACTGGGCGTCATCCCGGCACAGTCAGCTTTGGTACCAGCATGAAGTCTTGGGATTAGGGACATCTGTAGTAAGGTCACTGTCCTCAACAGGGACCTGCAGGTAGAGATTTCTTTAGAGAGAGCTCTGGACCCCTTCTTAAACTTCATTTTTTCTACTAATGTGAATTAAGCAAGAAGAGGTTTTAAGTGAAAGCTGATAAAGCTGTAAGACATTGGATGACAACCAGTCCTGTTCTGTTTCTCTCTAAAATAAGAAAGCAGGAGAACGGTGTGCAGGGTGGGCACTTTGAGGGTTCTCTGTCTGTCAGAGACGGGGGACGAAGTGCCGACATGCTGAGTCACAGAGCACAGAGCAGAGGGTTGGTGGGGGCGAGGCAGAGCCACAGGAGACAGCAGCCATGACGGAGCCTCTGGACGGCTACAAGACACTGCCAGTGCCTTGAAGACATTCATTCCCTGTGGATTCCTTTCATGTTTCCTCCCCTGGGAGGGTTCTGGGGAGAAGCAGGCTCACTAGGGGGTCATCACAGGGAAACTTTCTGTATGAGTCAGTGTTTTGTGTTGACAAAAGCAGGCAAATTTGCATGCCATGACTTGATATAGCCACATTTCTTATCATTCAAAATACTGATTCAAATTACTTGCTCCTCTCCAATGATCTTTGGTGAAAACCAAACTCCCAAGAAGATGTGTCACGTACCTCTCAGTAGGTCACCGTACACCCCTAAGTTACGTGGGTCCTGACCTAAAAAGTACAACTCTGTGGGGACACCAAACAATTCAGAGAGA